CCATGTGGGCTTTGTTGCTTCTGAGCTAGATGGCCGCTTGTTTACCTTCAAGCCTTTAAGACCCCAGATGCTATATCTTTTCATTGCCAGGCACCATCAGCTTTCTTCGCCACATTTTCTTATACACCCATTTATCTTCAGTGATTGTATCATGGAGGTGATATTTGCAATTTTTTAAAAGATATTATATTGAGATGTAGCTGTGATGGATGGAAAACTGAAGAATAGAGAGATTCATCTGAGAGGTGGATAAATCTAGAAAAGACTGCTACAAAAAAGTATGTTTGAGGATAACAAAAAAAGTATTGCTAGTCGGGTTCCAGTTCATACTAGTATGAGTTTATTCCAAACTCTTGAAAACGTGTGGTCAATGGATGGCTGCAGACAAGTCCTCTAGGGACACACTTGATACACTTGTTTTAGTTTCATTAGGATACCTTCGGAAAAGGAAACAAACAAACAAACTCAAAGCAATGGTTCCCAAGGAGAATCAGCCCTGCTAACTAAATTCAAGGCAGAGCTGTCAGCTCAGAATTTCATGGTGACATTTTTTGGGTACTCCAAAGGCATATTCTCAATCGACTTCCTGAAGGACACAGGACAATTGTGGTTATCATGAAAACAGTTCAAGAAAATTGAAACTGCGCTGGTACAAGGATAGTTACATCAAGGACCTTTTATCCAGCAGACCATGCGCCTGCTCCTTCATCGAGCAAAGTAGGGGCTGCTGTATGAGAATGTGTTGGAAAACCATACCTCACCCACCCTGAAGCCCTGATCTTTACCCTTTAGACATCTTTTTGTTTCCAAAACTCAAAGAATGTGTTAAAAGGAAATGATATGAGTCCCTTGGGGATGCCCAAACTGCATATGTAACATATAAATCAAAGAGGGCAGAATTATTTGGGGAAGGGCTAAAGAGGTAGAAATATTACATTGAGAAATGTATAGACCTAGATGGGGGATATGTTATTTAAGAATGGTTTCTATAATTTTGTAGAAACTCTTTGACTTACCCTCATATTTTCTGAGAAAAGAGGGAGCAAAGGGCCATGTGATTTAATCGACTGCTCCAAATAAATATAGGAAGAATTGATTAACTTTTTGAACAATAATCAATTTATATTTGTAAGAGATTCCAAACTTGCTTTTTAAATAAACCTAACCATAAAAGCTAGCAGGAATGATAGATAAGCTGATGTAAAATATCAAATTCTAGATTCAGTTATGAGCAAAAAGGTAACATATAGGAGGGAAAGATTTATTAGAATTACCCCCAAACACCTCTCTTTACCTTCATAATGTTTAGGTTTTCTATAGTATGCAGAAATTCCTTGATTATTGGAGTTTCACTGTGTATGTGGGGTTAAGGATACCTCAGTCTTGGCCCCACATCTGCTGTGACATGATAAGAGACCATGAGCAGCCACAATGCTCTCTGCATCTTGTTTTGTAGTGTGAACTGTTGGAGTTGAGCCTTTAGATCCTTTCTAGATATGTCAGTTCTTTTGATTCTCAAAGAGGTGTCCTGGTGACTGAGTTAGTAGTTTGGGAAATATTTTAACAGTTAAAAGGGGCTTTTAAATGGAATATGTTATTTAATCACAGTCCAGATTCTGGTGGTAGCGGTGCTAGCCCTTGTGATTTTAGAGAAGAATATTGAATTAGCAAGTATCTGAGTAAGAAGTATTAGCAGTTGTTCAGCCATTCATATTGCTATGATCAACTCTGTCTGGCTGTCAGGTTTGCTATTAAGATTATACCTAATCTCTCTGAAGGGCCTGCATCCAGTTAGTGCTTATGTGCTTAATAAATGTCAGATTTCACACTAGACATGGCTGAATATATTTTGAACGTAAGCATTTCTAAACTGGCCTTTCTAACTGTCTTTGACTTTAGTCATTAAAGAAGAAACTAATCACAGTGAAATGGCAGAAGACCTGTGCAAGATAGGATCAGAGAGATCCGTCGTGCTGGACAGACTAGCAAGTAACGTCGCCAAACGTAAGAGCTCTATGCCTCAGAAATTTGTTGGTAAGAGTTAAACGTTTGCTGTCTCTTAAAAAAAGTACTTATGTGTTTCAGATTCAAGTGATGATGGGTCTAAATTAAGTTGAGGCTAGAAAAGAAGATAAAATTATAGTATTTTACAAAGCAGAATGTGATAATATTAACATGTCCAAAATATATTAGAGGTTCTTTTAAATAAATGTCTTAAAATAAGAAATTTCAAACAGAAGTGAGAGGTATATAATACATATCACTCAGACAGCCCCTACAGAAAATACGAATAGTAGTTTTGTAAATGGAAGAGAAAAGATGCTTGGGAGTATTTCAAAGCTGTATATAAAAAGAAAGATCCTTGAAAGGGGGAAATGCACAGATAGGTAGAGTTTTATCCTTCGTGTTTTTAATAGCAAATATATAAAAGGCAAAGATAAAAGTATGTCATAGGGCTCATGAAATATAGACTTAATGATGATGGCAAAAGCAGGGAGAGGAATGGTATAGACATAGAATGCACTGTGTGTTCATGAAGCTGCATTGATATCAACTTACCCTAGAATGGTATCAATACAAACTATGAAATATAGCATTTATGTTGACCACTAAGAAAATATATTTTGAAAATATACACAAAAGGAGAAGGAAACCAAAAGGCTCCCTATAAAAGTTAACAAAATACAAAAGCAAGCAGTACTAAAGAACAAAGACAAAGGAGATTAAAGACATGCAAAATACAAATAACAAAATAGAAGGATTAAGTCACTTTTTAGCAGCAAGTACAGTAAATATAAATAAATATCAGTGGACTCAATCCTCCAATCAAAAGATAAGAGTAGCACAATGGATTTTTTAAAAAGACCTGCCTATATACTGTGTACACGAGATCTTCCTTAAATTCAAGGGGAAAAATATGTTGAAAGTATAAGGTTGGGCAGGGGGAGTGTCTCACATAATAACCAACAGGGAGCTGGGGGTGGTAAATCTTAATATCAGGCAACTTAATACCAGATACTATTAGAAGAGATAAAGGTGTATATTATCAAGATTTAGTCATCATAAATGTATGTCAGGTTTCCTAAGTATATAATGCAAACACTGATAGAATTATGGGAGAAAAAGGTAGTACTACAATAATCATTGCAGACTACAATACACTACTTTCAATATTGGATAGAATATCTAGAAAAAAGTTCAGTAAGGATCTGAGTTACACTATAAACCAGCTAAATTTAACAGACATATAGAGAACACTTCACCCCAAAACAGTCCAAGATACACTTTAGTATAGTACACATTCTCTAGAATAGTCCACACCTTAGGTCACAAAGCACGTCCTGATAAATTTTAAAAGATTGAAGTCACTCAAAGTATTTTTTCTGGAAATTAGTAACAGAAAAAAAATCCTAGAAAATACATAGGCATGTGAAAATGAACAACAGACCCTATTAAACTAGGAAGAAATTAATAGACATATCAGAACTCTTTTAGAGTCCAAGAAAAATGAAATCACAATATATATAAACATGGGACACTATCCAGGAAATACTCAGAAGGGAATCTGTAGTAATAAATTTTTATGCACACACATGAAAAACCTTAAATTAACAGCCTACCTCAACAACTCCAGGAACTAGAAATAGAAAAGCAATCTAAGCTTAAACCTACTTAAAAAAATAAAATAACGAATATCTAAACAAAAATATGTAAAATAAAGAATAGAAAAAGAGTAGAGAAAAATTAATAAAACCAGAAGCTGGTTCCTTGAAAAGATCAATAAAATTGATAAACATTTAGCCAGACAAAGAAGAGATGCAAATAACCAAAATAAAAAATGGAAAGAGGATACTACAGAAATATAGAGAGAATTATGGCAAGCTATTATGAACAAAAGTATGATAATAAACTGGGTAATCTAGATGAAATGGAAAAATTATTAAATACACATATGCCTGAACTACCAAACTGTCTGAAGAAGAAGGAGAATGTTTCAATAGACCCAGACAAGTAAAGATATAGTCAGAGATCAAAAACCTCTTAACAACAAATGTCTTGGACAGATGCTTCACTGGGGAATTATACCAAATACTTAGAGAAGAAATGATAACAATACTTCGGACGTGAGAGGAAGACGTATTCCCTGCTCCATCCTACGGAGCAGGCATCACTCTGATATCCAAAGCATGTGGCCAGCAGTTCGAAACTGCCACCCTCTCCACAGGAGAAAGATGAAGCTTTCTACTCCTTTTAAAGATTGACAGTCTCAGAAACCCACAGAGGCAGTTCAGTCCTGCCTTATAGGGTCACTATGAGTCAGACTTGACTTGATGGCAGTGAGTTTTGAGTTTATCGTGGTCTATAAATTCAATGCAATCCTGATAAAAAAAAATTTTTAATCAATTTATTGGGGCTCATACAATTCATCACAATACATAGATCAATTGTGTAAAGCACATCTATACATTTGTTGCCCTCATTATTCCCAAAATTCGCTTGCCTCTTGGGTTCCCGGAATCCGCTCATTTTCCTTTTTTTTTTTTTCCCCCTCCCCTTCCCTTCCTCCTCCCCTTTCCCCCATGCACCCTTAATAATTTATAAATTATTATTATATCTTATATTACACTGTCCAGCGTCTCCCTTCACCCACCCCACTGCTGCCCGTCCCCCAGAGAGGAGGTTATATGTGGCTCCCTGTGATCCATTCCCCCTTACTACATCCCCTTTCCCTCCTGGTATCGCCACTGTCACCCCTGGTCCTGAGAGGTTCTTCTGCCCTAGATTCCCTGTGTTTCCAATTCCCATCTGTACCGCTGTGCATCTTCTGGTCTAACCAGGTCTGCAAGGCAAAATTGGGGTCCTGGTAGTTGGGGGGAGGAAGCGTTTAAGAACTAGAGGAAGGTTGTGGGTTTCATTATTGCTATACTGTACCCTAAGTGACTCATCTCCCCACTACCCCTCTGCAAGGTATGTCCAGTTGTCTAGAGATGGGCATTGGGTCTCCATCACGCGCCACCCTCATTGACAAGGATATGACTTTTCTCCCCGCCCCACCTTTGGTGCTTAAAGCCTGGTCCCTTTGGCCCTTCATGATCACACATGTTGGTGTGCTGCTTCCATGTGGGCTTTGTTGCTTCTGGGCTAGATGGCCGCTTGTCTACTTTCAAGCCTTTAAGTCCCCAGACGCTATAGGTCTCGTTACCCTTTATGGGAGTAGAAAACTTCATCTTCCTCCTGGTGGTTTCGAACTGCTGACCTTGAAGCAGAAATATATAAACCTAAATGGAGAATATGCTCAGAAATATGTTAAAAAATATCTTTGTTAAAAGGGGCTGGATGATTTTTTTTAGCAATCATTTTTTATACATACACAACATGAAGGGGCTTCAAAAAGCTCAGGGGGGTGGGGAAAGGAATTAAAAGATAATAAAATGTTTCCACTAACTTTCTGACGTCCCCTTGAATATAAGCCTTAGTGACAAACCCAGTTAAATGCTCAGCTGTCAGCCAAAGGTTGGCTAACTGAAACCACCCAGTGGCTCTGTGGGACACAGGTGAGGCTGTCTACTTCCATGTAGATTACAGCCAAGAAAACTTATCAGGCTATTGGAAGCTACTCAACAACAGTTATCAATAAGACATGCACACATAAAATATAATACAGTAAGAGATTAAAATCATTTAAAAATGTTCATTTGTTTCAACTTGGGCAGTGTATATTGATTGATTCTGCTTTGAAACATAAGGACATGAGCCACTTCTCAATGTTCAAAGTTTTATTACCACGTTTACATCACCCAGGTTTGTAACAGGCTCATCTTTTGTCATCATAATTTTCCTGTTAGTTTAATTATTATTAACTCCATATTTTGAATGGACTCAGTGTGGTTGGGTAAGTGCTGGACTGATGACTGAAGATTAGACAATTCAAACCTACCAGCCACCCCATGGAAGAAAAATGAGACTAAATATTCCCGTAAAGAATTACAGCCCAGCTTAGGACCTAGAATCCTTTGCAGTTCCCTGTGCTATGGGACCTAAACCCTATGGCTAATTATCAGTCAGGCCTAGATTTGAATCTAGCTCCCTTGTTTACTGGCTATGTGTATATGGACACATCACTTTCTTTGAACATTGGTTTCATTATCCAAGAAGAGGAGTAATAATGCCTGTGTTCACCCCACATGAGGCAGACGGACTCTGTTGTAACTATTGGAGTAATTGTTGTTATCATTATTTGTAGTACATTCAGTGTGCAGCTGGGCCCACATTGGAAGTGCCCACAATTCCTCCCATCTGCCACATTCCTGCCAGAACCTTCCATATCCATAAGGAAAAGCTAATTCTTTCAAAGGGTCTGGGTTAAAAAAAAAAAAAAGAATTACAGCCCTACACAGGGTCACAGTGTGTCAGAATCAACTCAATGGCAGTGGATCTTTATCTCTACTTTATATTCATCTTGATCCAACTCTTAATTGAAGAGTTGCTTCATATTCAGGCAGCTGTTAAAAAGTGGTTCTGTATTTTCGGAATGGTTTGGTACTTGAAGCCGCCGTTAACCGTGAGAGCATCTGGTCCATGTAGGGTCCTGGTCACTCTGGTGTCCACCTCACCCCCACCCCCACCTGCAAGCTAGATCATTTGGAATCTTATAGTGTTACCTGTTGGCATGGTTAGGTTGCTTTGGGGTAACCTGAGACCAGTCTGATATTTTTCCCTTGAAGGTGATATACATTTTCTCCCCAAATACTTGAAAAATTTGATTTTTATATTTTAAACTTTTTTATTGTGAATTAGATGGGGATTTACATTTCAGATAATCAATTTTGTGTTCAGCAAGTTTAGCTCCTTACCAGACCTTCTGATTGTTTTCACTGGCCTACTCCTTTGATTGATCCTCTCTTGTCAGTTATGTTCGTCTTCATCCAAGTTAACTCTGCCTACCCTAGTCTATTGTTTTACCTTCCCTCCTTTCCCGCCCCTCCCCTTGCCCTCAGGACGATCAGTTTCTTTATTTTGGAATAAGGAACTTC